TAAGTGGGACTAAGCTGCGGGGAGTGAGGTGAGGAGACAAAGCAGGAGGCACCCGCAGCGTCCTGGGAAGGGGCTGCACCCTATGGCTCATGGACATTTCTGGCCTGTGCCTATTTCTGCAGATGAAGTCTTGCTGGAGCACAGCCAAGCTCATACCTACAAGTACTCCCCATGGCTGCTTTGGAGGTACAATGCTGTAGTTAAACAGTAAGGACAGAGACTATGTGGCCCACAAAGCCTAAAATATTTACTATTTGGTCATTTACAAAAATGTGTGCCAACTCCTAGAGAGAGAGTGATAAAGGAGTGAATCTAAGACATGCTTGAGGAAATGGTAAGAAGAACAGATTGATATGTGAGATTAAAATCTTCCCGTGGCCCATGAAGTGTTCTGCTCATGTATAACACAGAAGAATCAGAGACGGGCAGGGAACCTGCAAGGTTAGTAACACTCTAATTACAAAAGTAATGCAAAAGAGATGTAAATGAGTTTCTTTGTCTTTACCTCCAACAAAAGATCAATCAGAGGAGTCTGCTTGCTGGCAGGGGTGAGACAGAGGTTGTCTATTATTAAGACGCGCATGAAGTCAAAAACAAACTTTTTAGCTGGGTGATTGGTCAGATATGTCTTGGTGCCCACATTGCAGTACTCGGATTGGCTCCGGTTCATCCCAGTGTCGGCTGCAAATGCTTTAAACTCTTCTGCTGGAGATCCAACCTCATCATCGAGATCAGTCACCTAATAAAATCACACAGTAATCACATGAGATGTTATCTGATGCTTTTACTTCTATGGTTCCTAAAAACAAAAATGTCGCAGCATCAGCGTCTTCTGTGAACATCCTCCTCCTGGTAAGCTGTTCAGCACATTATTTCACTCTGTCCTCCTGACCCCTGCCTGGTCCCTGACCCTCGCTCTCCAGGCTGTAATCCGGGCACCAGGTCAGTTACTCAATGCCGGTCTTTCTGACTCACCCACAAACTATACAATTTGCATGATGCTGAATTACATGTTGACTTTGGATAATTGCACTTAACATAAATGAATTACTAAAATGAGAATGACTGTTTCTGCATATTTGAAATCTATCCATTGAGAAGTCAAATGTCACAAAATTTCAGATAAAAATTTGGCATAGTGGTAGCACCTGAGGGCTGATCCACTTTTTTACAAGTTAAAAAACCCCATTAAATAAACAAAACTTGTACCAATTTTGAGTCAAGTGAGAGAGACAGACTAGTAGGCAGATTATAAGATGCTCACAAGGAAAGGCACTGATATGTTACTGAGGATCAAATTTTACCCAAAACGAGGATTCCAAAATTATAAACAAGCCAAGGTATTAAGGTCATATGTTATACTTGCCTTTCTCCTATAAATCCCCCCAATTTTATAATGAACATTCTACATTTAAACAGGGAGAAAAATTGCATAAAGATGGCATTGATCCCCAAGTCCTAGGGCAGTGGCTCTCAACTTTCCTAATGCTGCAGCCCTTTAATACAGTTCCTGTGGGCCTCAACCCACAGGTTGAGAACCACTGCCCTAGAGTATATGATAGAAATAGGAGGAAACGTCAAGAAATTCTGAAGTATTATGGAGGAATAACTGCCTTGTAAGTCTATTTTAAACGAGAAAAGAATTCAGTGAAATAAACCAGGAACAAAAAGTTAAATACTACCCGTTACCACTCTTATGTGGAAGCCGGAAAAAAAAATCCCACAGAAAGAAAAAGTAGAAAAGATGATACCGGGAGTGGGAGGGTTGGGAGAGGGAGGCATAGGGAGATATTTGTTAAAGGATACCAAATTATAGCTCTACAGGAGGAATAAGTTCTACACAACCACAAGATGACAACAGCTAACAATAATATATAGTTTCAAATAGCTGGAATACTGAATATTCCCAAAATAAAGAAATGACAGATGCTGAGATGATATCCTAAGTACTCTGATCTGATCACTATATATGTACTGAAACATCACTACACACCCCATTAATGACGCATTACTATTATTTATCAATTAAAAAATTGAAAAAAGATTAAAATAAAGGACAACAGAAGAATCTATATGCTGTCTGATAATTTTACACCAAATTAGCACAAAATAAGAAAATAAAAGTTGAATATAATAAGAAAAGCTGAGCAGAAGAAAGGACCAACATATACTTTATTTTTTATAAAAATCTTCAAACCTATAATTCATTTATAAGGATTAAATTCAGCAAATGCCTAACTCCTAAAATAAAACAGAAGTTTTGTGAGACTAGACTTCTGCTACCTGTAAAGAACATTTTACAACTCCAGAGCTAACACCACTTGAGAAACAGATCAACTCCGTAGAGAGGGAAATGACTAACAAGGGACTTACAGGAATACGGAAAGTGAAAAAAGGAAGCACAGTGCACTGTTATTTTAGGGGAAAGCAGAAGGAAAGCGTGGGGAGCTGAGGACACCACATGATGTAAGAGGGGGTGCATGCAGTTATGAAACTCTAACCTGGTCAAAAGCCTAAAAGACTGGCAAAAAAATATCGGCTAGCCACTGGGACAAATTCCAGCTTTGACAGGTTCCTCCCCCTTTCCTACCATCTCTGAGTAAGGGCGGATGTTGAAGGGGAAGACAGTGGCCGCCAGCGCACACAGGAAGTCGGGGCTCATCCACATGGAGGCCAGGTCCGGCACGTTGTGGTACAAGTATCTGAAGAACTGCATCAGGGTCACGGGGTATTCTCGCAGCCACGAGCCCTCTTCTTCTGACTGCCAAGGCTGGCAGGAATAAGAGAAGAAATACCATGTTAGAGTAATGGGCATGGCTAAAAATTACTTTAAACCCCATTACTCACTGTTTTTATAAGACTGCATATACTGCTGGTCCAGAACTCTGTAAATCACACACAGCAGCCAACATACTTGGTACACACATGCAAACAAATTTAGAGATCAGCTAAAATCAACATGACCCCCTTAGAAACTGACAGGGTGCATGTTTCTTCACGGCTCCCTCACTGCTCAGCTAGCTAGCGGCAGTGGTTTGGGTTACTCATCCTTGTTAACCCAGGCACTGCGTGCATTGCCGTGGTGGTGCCCCACTGTGCACCGTGTCAGAGTTAGGAGTGATGCCTCCTAATGATGGGGAAGGTACTTCACCTTTCTGGCCTCACGCTTAAGCGTTATGTAATTCAACAACAATAACAATGAGGACTGAAAACATAAAAAGAGGGTGGTGCTTGTGGTTCAAAGGAGTAGGGCGCTGGCGCCATAGGCCGGAGGTGGCGGGTTCAAACCCAGCCCTGACCAAAAACTGCAAAGAAAAAAACCATAAAAAAATTACTAGATATCTAAGCAGTCATTTTTTTTTTCCCTTGAGGTAGAGTCTCACTACATTGCCCTCAGTAGAGTGTCATGGCCTTGCAGCTCACAGCAACCCTTCAGCTTAAGTGAAGTCTAACTCTTGGGCTTAAGCGATTCTCTTGCCTCAGCCTCCCAAGTAGCTGGGACTAGAGGTGCCCGCCACAATGCCCAGCTATTTTTTTGTTGCAGTTGTCATTGTTGTTTAGCTGGCCTGGGCTGGGTTCGAACCTGCCACCCTCAGTGCATGTGGCTGGTGCCATAACCACTGTGCTATGGGCACCGAGCTTGAGCAATGTATATCATCTGATACCTAGCCAGAGAATGGCTTTCTTTTTAACCTAGATTGTTATACTTGTTTATAAATAGGCATCAAAACAAGAATACTAAAGCATTCTAAATTAATACATTTGATGGTAATGTTCTGTTCTTAGATGATATAACAAAAGTTTTGATAAAATTAGATTTTCAGGTATATGTAATTCAAGGAGTGTAAGTTAACATTTCCTCGTATAAAACAATCCTAAATTGTATGAACAAATTAAGCCGTCACTCACAGAATTCCAATCAGATAGACAGGAACATAAATTTTATCATTTACTATACCAATACTTTATCTCTAAGTCAGAAATAATAAGAACAGAAAAAAAAAAGAAAAAGAAAACTTACATTGTTAACAATTTTAACCTCCAAATGAAAGTTATTTTCAAAGTTCAAATAGCATATTATTGTATTACATTAATAATACCAATTCCTACTTTCGAAGCACTTACTATATGCCAGGCTACACTCTTCTAATTGCTGTATGTATATATTAATTCATTCAATCCTCAAAAACCCCTAAAAAGGAAATTCTATTATCTTCAGCATTTTATTTTTTATTTATTAATTTAATTTGTTTTTTTGAGACAGAGTCTCATTTTATTGCCCTTGGTAGAGTGCCATGGTGTCACAGCTCACAGCAACCTCCAACTCCTGGGCTTAGGTGATTCTCTTGCCTCAGCCTCCTGAGTAGCTGGACTACAGGCACCTGCCACAACGTCCAGCCATTTCTTTTTGTTGCAGTTTGGCCAGGGCCAGGTTTGAACTTACTACCCTCAGTATATGGGGCCAGCGCCCTACTCACTGAGCCACAGGCGCCGCCCTATCTTCAGCATTTTAAACATGAGAAAACCGAGGCACACAACTGAGGTCAGTCTGTCTGAAGTAGCACAGTAAGAATCTGAACCTGGGTAGTGCTTGAGAGTTTCTTAGCTCAAAAACTGTATAGTCTGTTCTTATGTTAGAAATAATAATAATAAAAACAACAAAAACAAAACAAACAAAGACGACCAAGGCATCCTTCTGCTATCCCGCAAACTTACTGAGTTGAGCATGCTGCGGAGCATCCCCAGTAATAAAAAGGCAGCCTCTGTGCACACATTGTGGATGGAAGAGACCACAGTCCCACTGGAGGCAGGAACTCCAAAGATAAATGTCCAAATAGAGTCCAAATCAAACTGCACAAGTGAAAGTGATTAAAGATTAGCACTATTAATTTTTCTTCAGTAGAGCCCCACATAAGTTCTAATATTCTAAAATTCCTCTGAAACCAGTTTTTTTTAAGTGAGCAATGATAAAGAGATATACACCCACTACTCCTGCATGTCACATTTTAAACTGATTTTCATATTTATAAAGAAAAATTAAACACTATGTATCATCCCAGCTTAGATTCCTACAAAAAAAAATACTGCTTTCTACTTTTTCCAAAGAAAACAAACTAAAATGAAATATATGTTAATTAGTCACAAGATAAAATTATAGAAATGATGATTCTAAACAGGATCTTTTTTTTTTTTTTAAACAGTCTCACTTGGTCACCCTTGGTAGAGTGCTGTGGCATCTTAGCTCACAGCAACCTCAAACTGTTGGGTTCAAGTGATCTTGCCTCAGCCTCCCAAGTAGCTGGGACTACAGGTGCCCATCGCGATGCCCTGCTATTTTTTACAGACAGAGTCTCGCTCTGGCTGGTCTTGAACCTGTGAGCTCAGGTGATCCACCTGCCTGCCTCAGCCTCTCAAGCTGGGATTACAGGCGTGAGCCACCGTGCCTGGCTAAACAGGATCTTTTTTAAAAAAGCAGATTGAACTCACTTATTTCTCATTGTCAGCAAAGTTCTAATTCAATTTTAGATTACTTAAAGGTAAGATCTACAATATCAAAATCAAGGAGGTTTATTCCCAGCAGTTTCACATAATACATTATGACTGTGGTGTTACATGTATTTTGAAAAATTACATCATCAACAAAACTCTCCTAAGCATGAATCTGTAATTTGATTTAATATAACGACACAGATTCAGTATTTTCACTTAAAAGGTTCTGTCAACGACTAGAACTGATGTGAACAGCATTTGGTGTTATGATGGAAATGACTGTTAATGCTAAGTTCCTAAGCCTTTGTAGTGTCAGAACATAAACTGTATACAGACAGGCCTAATAGCCTTGAAATACAAGTCAAGTAACATCTTACTATTTTCCTAATATGGATGGTTATCCAACATTAAGTATTTAAAATTTTTTTTCTCATCAGAACTTGCACTGAGAATCCTGTAGTACCCATTCAATTAATTTATGGTATACAAATGACTTCTTTCACGTTTGATTTTATGGAAATGAAATTTTTTTCTAGATAAAAATCACATAACAAAAGAATTCTTTAGATCACCCAAATAGCACCCAAAGTCTTTATGCATCTGTGATCATACAAAGTAATCGTACAGAAAAAATGTCCAAATAAGACAAAGGACATTTTTGGGAGAAAATTTTCTAAGGCATTTTCAGAGTTTTCTATCCCCAACCAACTTAAATGTGAGAAAAGTGATGGTTTTACTGCGATTACCCATTACCCTAAGGTGATTCTTTGGAATATGTAGTTACACTTACGCCTTACTAGGTAATTCCTACCTGGCAACCCTGCTTACATCGGCAGCTGCTGACAGGCACACTGACCTGCAGGTTCCCAGGCAGCTCACTAACGGGCTGCTGCAGAAACAAGGCCATGAGGAGAAAATAGAGGGCAGGGACATTAGTGTGTTTGGGAAGGAATGACTGGAGGACTGGAAAACCAGGAAAATGACAAGCATCCCGGTTAATCTCCCTAATGGTCGATCTCCCACCAGCACTCCTGCCCACATTGAATCCTAAGAGAAGAGGAAACAGGACAATAAGTACAAAATTAGCAATCCATAACCATGCTGCATCAACAACAGAGAGGGGAGCAACTGGTCTGTGTAACATGCATATTGCTACAGGCGATGAGGCATTCAAATGCTGAATAATCTTTCAGTCAAAAGTTTTACTTTGCCATCTGTTTGGCTTTAGGAAGCCTGTCTATTAGGACACAGGCTTAGAAATACAACTGACAGACACTGGAATTTGAAAATGCTTCTTGAGGACATATGAATTCTATTCATTAAAAGGATAATCTCAGAGGAGCTCTCACGTTCCTGCTTGTATTTCCCTAAGAAAAAAGTGAAGACTAAAATATATACACCCAAAATCTGGAATGCTATGAAATCAAAATTAAAAATATACTTATTATAATAGGGTTAACATATTGACCTGAAAATCAAGATAAGCTAGTTCACCTTAAATTGTCGACAAATTGAGAGACAAAGTAAACGAATAAGCCATACAATCCTCCTGACAACGTGGTCTGTAATCTGCTGGGAAGCAGCCAGGCAGTGAGGTGGTAAACTCGAGTGTGGCTCCAGCAATCCACAGGCTTAGCTAAATATTCAGACCCCCTTCTAGAAACTTGGCTTTTTCAGGAGATGGTCAGCACTAGCTGCCACAGCCTCAGTGTTTCTATCAGTGGTTTCCTCTGTCTTATAGCTAAATTCAGAACACATTGCAAACATTCGGTTCTTTTTCTACCCCAAACCTAGTACTCAGTACACAGCCAATTTTTCAATGGAAAACTTTTATGAATAGCAACCAACAGAGGAATGATTCATGTTTATTCTGAGCAATTTATACTCCAAATAATCACATTTTTAAACTTCTTTTTCCTAGAATGAACTAAAGTGCATATTTGCAACTACTATTTTACATAATAAAATAAAAATTTATGTCTAGGTTTTTTTCTTATAAATAGTATGCTTTTCTACTTCATAAAAAGACCCAGCAATTTACCAAGCTCTTTCATACATCATTCAATTTCTTAATCACAACAAACATGTGAGTTAAAAGTCCCTGTTACTATTTTTATGACATAGAAAACACATGTTTTGTTCAAATCAAACAGTGGTATAGCTGGCAGAGTTGAAACCTGATGTCTCTACTTTAGATCTGTAAAATTATGCTGTTACCCTTGCCCTTAGTAATGACATTGCCACATTTCTGAAAGACTGGCTAGATTAGAAGATCGGATTAATTTTTATTTATAGTAAATTCTAAATGATTTTTATAAAATTATAGTAAATTCTAAATAATATTATAAAAATAAAAAGTAAGTTTTGACCTCTAAAAAGAAGACATCCCAGCTATTTTGGAGGTTAAACTGGGAGGACTGTTTGAGCCCAGGAGTTGGAACTCAGACTGGGAAAAAGCAAGCCTCCATCTCAGTTAACCATCAATCAGTCAACAGAATCAAAAGACATAAAGTAGTATTTATACACTAACTAGGAAAAGAAATTTTTATGAAACTGCAGATTCTAAAAAATCCCTCAAAATGAGCATTATCATTTTCCTTCCATACTATTTTTCCCTGTAATTAATCTTTAAGAATATTTAATATGCTATTAACAAGTATCAATTTAGATTCAAGTTATAGCTACCTGAAAGTTATTTCTGTAAAGGAAAATTTGATAAAACTAACAAATGTGAACTTACAAAGTCAAAAACATTATGTTGCCCTTTGGACTAGAGGTAGAATCAAATGAGATGACGGATGTTTCTATACACACTTAAGTGTATAGATAGATATTCAGGGGAAATTAAATTAAATGGCATCAAATTTAAATTGAATTCCTACATTTCCTTTCTGAAATCAAAGTAGCACATGCAATGTGCAAGCAGATGTCAATGAAGGACAAACAAATTCTAAGACATAAAGTCAGGGTAGGCAGATACAGTAAACAGCTCTTTAATATACTGAAGTGGTGTAGCACCGTAAAAGCCAAGGACTAATAGTCAGAAGACAGAGTCTCAGACACTGTTATTGCCTGGCCCAGGAAGCTTACGTAGTTAAGTCTTCCTAACTAGAGAATTTAATCCTTAATTTATATTCATTAGGTTTCATTTATTTCCTAAAAAATTTATATACTATAAAATATATACTTGTCCCCAGAATCATGAAAGACAAATGAGATAACATATGTGAAAGAATTTTGCAAATCATAATATAGTATCATAAATTTCAGGTGTTGGTACCTCTCTGCTTTTGGACTTCAAACAAAGCAGTCCTACTAATTAGCATTTAACACTTATACTTTCAAAAGAACTCACATTTAATTCCCCAGAGTTTATGCAAATATAGTACCAAAATACCTACAATGATAACTTAAAATGTATATTTTACTTATTTATTTAGAGACAGAGTCTTGCTTTGTCACCCAGGCTAGAGTACAGTGGTGTCATCTTAGTCCACTGTGACCTCAGACTCCTGGGCTCAGGCAAGTCTCCTGTTTCAGCCTCCTGAATAGCTGGGATTATAGGTATGTGCTATCATGACCAGGTAATTTTTCTGTTTTTTTGCAGAGACAGGTTTTCACTCCTGCTCAGACTGGTCTCAAACTCCTGAGCTCAAGTGATCCTCCTGCCTCAGCCTCCGAGAAGGCTAGAATTACAGGTGTGAACTATTGCACCTGGCAAATGGATATTTTAAAGCAGACAATTTTCTTGAGAAATCATTTCACAGTGAAATGGAAATGCTTCACTTTTCTTTATCACCTACAAAGTTTGTTCAGACATTTTTCACATGTGAAATAACAATAGAACAGTACTACACTGAAAGACCTGTCTTCCTATCACTGACATTTGAAGAGGTAGCACAGGCAGAGCCTAGATATTCACACACTTACATTGTTTCTATAAATAAATTACACATGAAATTCTGATCCCCAATTTTCCTACATGACAGGACTAAATAGATACTTGTGATATGCTAGATACGCTCCTTCAAGATCAGACATATGACAATTATATATGATTTTACAATGTAACATTACATTGTGACAAATGTATATTTAAAGTAATTTAGAAACTGAGTAAGTGTACTTCCCAGTAAAAAGTATTATTTTAAAGTAAATATTTAGTGAGGTAAGATCATTAATATGAACAGAAATACACTAATTCAAATAAATCTAACATAGGAAGCTGCAACTTTCTAATATTAAGTAAATGATTAGTTATATACTGAAAATAGATACGGAATTAGTGAGCTGAGGATAAGAAGCTTGGATGAAACAAAGTTTAAGCTTAAATCCTTGAGTGGCAATGTGACATAACTGTTAAGCACAGGGGCTTTTAGATCTGAGTGAAATGGATCCAAATTCTGACCCTTCCTAGCTATTTGACAAGTGACTTCACCTCTAAACCTTAGCTTTCTAATCTGTAAAATGTGCATGATGATATTTAGACCTCACAGAGGTACTGTGAAAATGAAAGGTTATTAATGATGTGGCAAGTGTTTAGAGACTGGCACAAACACACAAAATACGTATTGGTTATTACTGTTACTCATTCAGTCCTACTGATAATTTGCTATTAACTTGCAGAATAGAAAGGGACATATACTACAAAAATATCCTAAGGAATTCCCTGTGTTTTCAAATCTTAACATCTTTTCTCTGAGTTCAGACTGTTTTGCAATTAAAAAAAGCCAAATTTGAAATTGTCTAAGCTTTTTACTGTATCATTAATTAAAATCCCAAACTCCTAGTCATTACCAGATAAACTAGAGAGTATACATTTATAAATTATAAGTATTATGATATATAAGCTTTAAAAACAAAACAGAATAGCTTATTTTCAGGCAACTGACTGTAAGTCTCATACCTAATACAGTTCCAATCTTATTAGTTAAGACAGAATCTGTCTGTTCAAGCCATCCTCCACCACTGAGTCCTTCTTTGAACTTGATGAGAATAGACTGGTTACTCAGCAGGACAACAAGAATCCTCAGGGCTGCCGTGACGGTGGTGGAGTGCAAGTGCTCCTCCATAAACATCACGATCCAGTCAAAACCCAGGACCTTGACGAGTTCTTCACAAGCTCTATTCAAAGACAGATGGAGATAAAAAAAATAAAAATAAAAAATAACTTCAAAGATTAGGATTTCAAGAGAAAACAAAACATTAAGACTAGGTTTCTGTCTTGAAATAGTATAAATTTTAAGGTTAAAAACATCTGTTTCAAGGCAATGGTAAGTTTTTCTTCTGTCTGACATGAACTAAGTAGTAACAGCAATTGGTATCATCAAGTTTAAAAAGGTTTTACTTACTGTAAATTAATGCTTGTCTTTTCTTTAGATGTATAAATTAGTTTTAGCAAGATATCTAGAAGTCTATTTCTCAAAAGTATGAGATTAGCAGATACAAGACCTCCAAACTCCTCTTCAGGGCCTAAAACAAAAATAAATACATTAAAATCCCCCACATAAACAAAAATAAAATATGTAACACAATTCTTTGAAATCTCACTAGTCTTTTAGGGAAAATTTAGGAGTACTTTCTACTAAAATGGATAAGAAAATGGGTCAGTTAACTCATTTCTTTTTAGAACCCTGAAAATTGTTCATTTATATTTGATATTTTCTGAACTAGTGATAATAAAGGCTGGTAGTCCTTTTTATGTTAATATCCTCTTCCCCTTCTCAATATGGAGAAAATCATCAAATGAAGATCACACGAATAAAAACAATCATTACTAGAGACTGTCAATCTACCCAATATTTAATTTTTAGTTTCTTTTTGAAAGAGTTAAATCTGTAAGATTTAAAAGTTGAAAACAGGCAATACAAACTTACATAATACCTACAGGAAAGTTAGAATTATTATTTAATTACTACTACTATTAAAAGAAGAGAGGAAAAGGCACAAAATGTACATAGGAGAAATTGGAAAAGAAAGGGAGAGAAAGAACGCAATGGTTCTTTCTCAGTGGGTGCTACTGAAAACAGGACTGGTACGAATAGCCCAGACTTCTGGGCCCAGCTCTACTATGAAAGAGCTGTGGGTTAACAAGCCACAGCCCCCGGACAGGCACAGCTCCTCACACTGCGTTTTGCTTTACCACGTTTCCCAGATATGGTGTTCTTGACAAACTCATGGCTTGTGGTAACCCTACGTCCAGCACCATCTATTGGCACCAGTTTTTCAACCACAAGTATTCACTTGTGTCTCTGTCACATTTGGGTAATTCACTCAGTATTTCAAACTTCTTCATTATTATAATGTCTATTATGTATTATTATATGTATTACTATATTATAATGTCTGTAATGTATTATTATAATGTCTGTTATGATGATATGTGATTAGTGATCACTGACATTACTATTGTAATTATTTAGAGTGCGATGAATTGCACCTGCATTAAGATAGTGAACTTCACTGATAAAGCTAGTGTGTGTTCTGATTACTCCAAGGACCAGCCATTACCCCATCTCTCTACTTCTCCTCAAGTCTCCCTATTTCCTGAGACACAACAGTATTGAAATTTGGCCAATTAATAACCCTACAATGGCCTCTAAGTGTTCCAGTGAAAGGGAGAAGTGCGTGTCTCTCACTTTAAATCAAAATCTAGAAATAATTAAACTGAGATAGGAAATTATATTGATAGCTAAGATTTCTTGTGTTAAACAGTTAGCCAAATTGAGAATACAAAGGGAAAGTTCTGGAAGGAAAGTTAAGTGAAATATCAGTGAAAAGATGATAAGAAAACAAACAGCTTTATTGCCGACAGGAAGAAAGGTTTAGCAGTCTGGACAGAAGTTCCAACCAGCCTCTACAGTCTCTTAAGCCAAAGCCTAATTCAGAGGCCCCAGTTTCCTCTTCCAGTCCCTAAAGATTGAGAGGTGAGAAGGCTGCAGAAGGAAAGTTGGAGGTAGCGGAGGGTGGTTCATAAGAGTCTCCATAACAAAAGGACAAGTTAATACAGAAGCTTCAGCAAGTTATCCAGCAGATCTAACTAAGACCTCTGATGAAGGTGGCTACAGAAATGCAACAGATGTTCAATGTACATGAAACAGGCTTTTACTGGGAGAAGATGCTGTCTAGGACTTTCACAGTTTCACAGGGCAGGCTGACTCCTATAAGGGGCTAATGCCGCCGGTGACCTCAAACAAATGCTCATTTATCTTTAGGAAAATACGAAGGTCCTTAAGAATTATACTAAACTCACCTACTATATCATTGTTCAGCATTATTGAAGCCATTGTTTCAGGCATATATCCTGAATACTGAAATTTTACTCGAAAGAAAAAAATCAAGGCCGGGTTCAGTGGCTCATACCTGTAATCACAACACTTTGGGAAGCTGAGGTGGGTGGA